AGCAAGTGATGGCTGGAGCAGGCCTGAGTGTATATGAGCAGGAGGCTGTTTATCCATACTGTAACATGATGATCTCCAAGGAAATGTCTGTACAAAATGCACTGTCTTTTGTGGAAAGAGTTAGAAAAAGAAAGGAGAAAGACAGAAAGGAAAGAAAGATACAAACATATTCTGGTCCACAGGAAACAGGCCTGTCCTTGACAACCAGTCACACTCCCAACTACCCTGCCTTCTCAGACAATCCTCTCGACTCTTCTAGGTAGGCACCGGCATGTGAACATTGATCTCTGCAAAGGAAAAGACCCAGGCTGGGCTCTCTGACTTCCAGGGTGCCGCACAGAGCCCCAAATGAGTCACAGGTGGAGTGGGATCAGGGTGGGATCCCCAGACTCACAGACTCATGCAGCTTCGCCTGCTGAGAAGTGTGAGAACATGGCTAGCTCTCCACAGGCAGGCAGGGCCACAGAGAAGAGTGTATCCTGAGGAAGCTGAGGGCCCACAAGTCCTAAGAAAGTAAACTTTCTGCACACAGCCCAGAGTTCTTGACAGAAAAATAGCATTGTGGTTTAAATTAGAGGTTGGGCAAGGGAGCAAGTTAAGAGTAACATGCCCACCCACAGTATCACGGAAAGTGTTCAGGGTGGGTATAGCTCAAAGGTACAAGCCTTGCTTAGCTTGAACTAGGCCCAGCACCTGGCCCCTGGCACAGTGGCAACACTGCTCCCTTGGCAAACATGGACTATTTGTTTATTCTGCAATGGAGGACTAAAGCACAACTTTCTTTGGGGTCTGTGTTGCACTCTTTGGTGAGATGGAGGGGAAAACGGTGCTGAAAATAAAAATCACACCTCTAAAAACCAACCAGAGACTGCTACCAGTGGGTTCCCTGGAGACAGGGTGCAGAGTACAACACCTATCCGAACTCTTAAAACTCCAGTGGCAGAGAACCAGTGCTAAAGCATCTTCTTCATTACCTTCTACATATGATCTTCTCCTTGAAGTGAGAGGAAGAGGGTTCTCTTGGCTAGCAAGATCCTGGGAAAGCAGGGTTACACACGCAAGCCATCTTGGGTACTCCAGGCAAGTCCATACCTCAAGTGTTAGGCACTGGTGCAAGCTTTGGGATTGCATGCTATAACAGCCTGCACCATGATAAGCCTCTAGGGAGACTTGGATGAGTATGCCTCATGTCTGTTGTGTGTTGCCATCACAAAGTCTAGCTAGGAGTGCTCCTGGGGTTACCACACCCCTCCTCAAGTTCCCTGCCCTTACCTAAAGGCTTGAGGCTCATTCCTTCTGCAGGCGGGGATCCCAAAATGCATGGTTAAGTGAACGGTGTGTCCATTTTCCACTTGGGCTTTGCCTTGAGCAAACCTTAGGTGATTCTAGAAAAGTTTGTATTGTGAAACTGATGAAGGAAGGGGTATTTCCATCACAGCCACTGTTGCTTTCATATAACTTTCCAGAACTGAATCACATGTACTGATTTACATAGTCATATTGCATGGGTGTGCATCCACATGTGTGTAGGGCAGAGGTCAACTTCAGGTGTCTCGTTTTTGAGACAATGCCTCTGGGATCTTGGGCTCACCAATTAGGCTAGGTCTTCCTGTGTCTGCCTCCCCAATGCCAAGATAATAAGTGCCAAGCTTTTTATGTGGGTGCTGGGGTTGAACCCAGGTCCTCGTGCTTGTACCTCAAGCACCTTTACCACTGAGCCATCTGCCCAGCCCCAGGAGTGATTTTCATCATCATTTTCATGAAGGCATTCTAAGAGTAAAAAGGAGAAATGTCAATGGTCTGCTGAGACAACACATGCCCCACCCAGGGCAGGCGGGGACATATAATCATCCTATTTATAAAAGAAGAAAAGAAAACTAAAACACACAAAGCAGAGTCCCAGCTGACACAAAACATGAACAAAAAATGATGTTGGTTATGAAGAGCTGACATAGCAGCATAACCCATAAAAGCTGATCAACACAGTCCCTTACAGCTCTGTAGCTTCTTTGTCACTCCCTGGGAATAATGGTACCTATTTCATTGGGTCATCAAGGGGGGTAAAGGAGTAGATATAAGTAAAGCACTCAGAACAGTGCCTGGCACATACTGTATACTATTACTAATTAGTAGTAACAAAGAATAAAGAAATGCTCTAAGCCAATCAATGAAGTCAAACTGCAAGGAGGGCATACTGTTTCCAGGAATGGCATGCCATTTAACCACACGCCAAGTCTTTGGAATCTTACAGTCCTCCATGCAAGCCTACTCCTAGCTGGATTTCCCTCCCACCCTAGTCTACGGGACATCATTGCCACTCTCTCTGCTGATTCCTCAGTCTGCCTTCTGTCCTTCCATTTCCCCCTCCTTGACTCAACAACACTTTCCATAGTTTGCTCCTGGGCCTGGGTTACTAGACAACATCCTCCAGGGTTTCTTGAAAACTCTTTTGTAGACCATTCCCCAACTCCTTCATTTCCCACAACACACTTCAGATTTGTACCATCTCCTCTAGCTTTATAACCTACTGTCTTCCTTCTTGTTTACAGAGACAGTAACAGCAAGTGTAGAGGCTTGGGCCTGGAATTCTAGCACTAAGGAGGAAGAAGAAGAGGGGTCATAAATCATAAGCCCAGCAAGACCCTGTCTTAACAACAACAAAAGACAGTAGAGCTAGAGGCCACTAGACAGACTACATACATTAGTTTGTGTCCATGAGCAAGGTCAAGACTTTGCAGCCCTGGATCCTGGCCCCTCTGGGTGTCCTATGCTCTTTGCCATGTCTTGACTCTCTCAATACAAACACACAACATACTTGCACAGTTTATATCTTCCAACTCCCTCCCTCTACCATCTCTCCCCTCTCTTTACTGCCCAGTAGCCCATCCTCCAGGCTCTTCCTTGAATCTGTTTATCCCTGAAGCCACTGGACTCCACTACCTGCCACTTGGCTGGCAAGTCTGCCCCAAGGGAGGCTCTCAGTGGATGTGTTGGTGCTGAAATTGAGGGATGTTTCTCCAGCATCAATCACTTCATATCTCCACCAGATCTGGCTTGGTTCCTACCTCCCAAAGAGTCTCTCCTGCTATGGCTTCCCTCTGACTTTCCCTCATCTCAGGCTTCCTCCCATGCTCTATAGGCTCCTCCTTTGTGCCCCCCAAACTTACTATCTCCTCCCGTTCTGTCCTTGATCACCTTTCATTTTCTTTCCTGGAAACTATGTGCTAACAACTCCAAAGCCCAAGCCTGTAGCAGATGTCCCTTATTTATCCAACTGACTTTTCTATGTTCCACAAGTTCCTAAGCCAGAGATGACCACAGTCAAGCTCATTAGCCTGCTCCTTGGGTGTCTTGTCTGAATGGCTGGTATCATTATTTACCAAGTGTTCAAGCCAGAAGCCAGGCTTTGTGCTTGACTTTCCCTAGTCCATCAATCCTGCCAACCACACAGCCTGCCAGCTGCTCTCTCCACCGCAATTCACGTTGTTTCTCAGGCTATTTGCAACTCCAGCTCCTTTCTCTGTGATGTTCAGAATAAAATTCTCATTCAGACACTGAAACCTTAACCCCAATTAGCCCATTATATCTCAGGACACAGTTCCTGTCTCCAGCTCCAACCTTTCATCTCTCATCAGGTCCCAAATATCTATAAACCAGACTCTCAATTCCCAGGTGCTTGTGTTTCGTGACATTCTGGGGTTTTGATCTGCTGTCCTCCTGCTCATGTGCTCTCTGCTCTGAAGTATGACTGTTTTTCAAAACTTAAGAAGTAATAAGTTTGTAAGTAATGTGTTACCTCTTTTAGTCTGCCCACTAGAAAACACCCTCACCCCCACCAGGCTGAGTCATCTGCTTCTCTTGTGCAATATTCAGTCCCCTGAAGGTGTGATTGCTGACTGACTTGCAAGTCTCCCTCACTAAACTGTGACCTTGACTAATTAGAGTCCAATCCATCTTCCACTTCCAGCTTCCTGCATGTTACCTAATGATGCTCAGCAAATGCTTTTCCCCACTGAGCCATCTCCCCAGCCTGGAGAGTAATTCTTGTGAATCGAGCAAGCCTGACTCCCTCCCAACCTCTCTGCTCCTGCTTGCTCCCCCATGTGCTCCTGTCTGCCTGACTGCACCTTGGTGAGATGCATGCAAGAGTGGCCCTTGCTCAGCATACACAATGATGCCTGGACCTTGACCATCTATGACTGTAAGCTAAATGAACCTCTTTCCTATAGAGTCAGTCCATTTCAGGTACTACATTCTGGTAACAACAGGCTGAATACACTCAGGGCTCAGGACAATATTCCCGTGACAGATATTCTGAATAGGTGAGGATTCTAAAGAGCAAAAAAGGTATTGCCATTATCAGTTTTCATTCAGTCTTCCTTTCTCTAGATTCAATTATCTCACTCCTTTAGCTATTCCATAAATGGCAACATGCTAGATGAGCAAATTTCAATTTTACGTGAAGTTATTAGACTCTCAAATGAGATTTGTAATTGGCATTCACAAGAAATCAATTATTAGTAGTTATTCCAGTCGCTCTCCCTCCATGTTCGGCTTGTGCGAGCTTTTATGCAGCTCTAAAGAAAAGCATCCAGTGAACTGCCATCCACGTCCAGGCTGGGACCATTCTGCCCACAGAGCTTTCTAAGCCAAATCTTAGGGTGTTATGATCAATCTTCATTTTCTGTTTAATTAATTTCAAGGTAACATTGGCCGAGTTGTGGAGAATAAGCAATTAATACATTTAGTGTTAAAATGTTTTACAATTCCTTTTAAGTAATCAATTTGTCATCCCATAAATCTGGTCATACCAAACAAATTTATGTTTTAAATAGGTCATCTTTAGAAAACAAAATACCTTGAAACAATTATGGCATAAGGCACTAAATATAGAAATTGTAACCTAAAATGTGAAATTAATTGGGACAAGCAATTTTTCAAACTATCCTTTCAATTAGAAATTAAGTCCTCACAGTCATCTCAAAAGAAGAAAAAAGAAATTAAGTCTTTGGAGCATTTAATTTTCATCTATCACCATCATTGTTATGTAGTCCCTGTAATTGATGGCATTTGATTCTGGATCAATTGCAGCAGACAACATTTCTTCCATTTCCTCTTGAGAAAAAGGCTCACCTGGAGAGACAAGAAGTGAAATCATCATTTACAGTTGGGAGCTTTTTCTCTTTCCACTAGCCAGCTTCATTGCCATGGAGTCCACAAGCCCCCAGCTGTGCCTAGTTTTCTCCATGGGAGCTGTACAGCCAACACCTGAGAAGCCAGAAGTTCAAAAGGCATGCTGCCACACACCCTGCAAGGCTGCATATTTACTACCCTGCTGTTACCTATAGGATACATCATTTCAGTCAAAACAGCAGGAATACATAAAACACCATGAGCGAAGTTGTTTATTCATTTAAATTAAAATTAGTGAAATTGCTTGAAGCTAAAGTCTTATAGGTGAATCTAATTATTATGTTAGTGAAACTATGGAGAGATAGCTAGAGAGAGAGACCAGACACTTGATCACTACATCAGGTCTCTCACACTGGTTTAACCCCACCACAGATGCCACTCGTCAATCATCCTAAAACTCCCCCTTGTTTCAGTCTGGGCTAGTTAATGTCAGATGAAGTGGAAATTGGGAGAGAAAAATCTGTGAGCTTCAGTTAGACTCAGGTAACAACTGAGAGCCAAAGTAGGACACAAACTGCAGAAGCATATGGAAAAACCTGAAGACTATTTAAGACAGAACTATGTTCCAATGTTAAAGAAAAATACAGAGCATACAGGTCATCACACTAGAACTTTAGGGGGAAGTCTTATGTAAACCAAGGCTTGAGGAGGGTTACTATCTTAGTTAAGGTTTCTATTGCTGTGAAGAGACACCAAGACCGTGGCAACTCAAGAAGAAGAAGAAAAGAAGAAGAGGAAGAGGAGGAGGAGGAAGAGGAAAAGGAGGAGGGGGAAGAAGAGGAAGAAGAGGAAGAGGAAGAAGAGAAGGAAGAGGAGGAAGAAGAAGAGGAAGAAGAGGAGGAAGAAGAAGAGGAAGAAGAAGAGGAGGAAGAAGAGGAGGAAGAAGAGGAAGAGGAAGAAGAGGAGGAGGAAGAGAAGAGGAGGAGGAAGAGGAGGAAGAGGAGGAGGAAGAGGAGGAGGAAGAGGAGGAAGAGGAGGAGGAAGAGGAAGAAGAAGAAGAGGAAGAAGAAGAAGAGGAAGAAGAAGAGGAAGAAGAAGAAGAGGAAGAGGAGGAAGAGGAGGAAGAAGAGGAGGAGGAGAAGGAGGAGAAGGAGGAGGAGGAGAAGGAGAAGAAGGAGAAGGAGAAGGAGGAGGAGGAGAAGAAATTTAATTGGATGGCTTACAGTTCAGAGGTTCAATCTATTAGCATCATAGGTGGGCATGTGGTTTCAGGCAGACATGGTGCTGGAGAAGGAGCTGAGAATTCTATATCTTTGATTCATTGGCAACAGGAAGTGAACTGAGACACTAGATGTGGCTTGAGCATATAAGAGACCTCAAAGCCCATCCCCACAGTGGCATACTTCCTAAAACAAGGCCACACCTACTCCAACAAGTCCCACTTCCTAATGGTGCCACTCCCTGTGAGCTTATGGGGGCCAATTACATTCAAACTACCAGTTACCTACTTTATGAGCCTAAAACCTTTCTCACTATCCTCAATGCTTTCTATATTGGGATTCAACTACCAGCACAGAACTTATGCTAATAGGCAGGGATTTTGTGGTTTTTCATTTTTAATTTTGTTTTGTTTTGTTGTTGTTTTAGACTGAGCCTTCGATGCCCAGGAGTCTGACTTAAAACACACGTTTTTTTCTTACCTTGGCCTTCTGACCTTGGTTCATATGTATGAACTTCCTAAGAATCCCTGAAATGCTGAAGTGACAAATTCTGGATACTATGATATGTGAGGTTACTATAACATATAAGCTCACTCTATCTCCTAAGCAAAGAATGATGGCTCCCATCTGTAATCCCATCTAGGAGACTGAAGCAGGAGAATTGCCTTGAGTTTAATGCCAGCCTGGGATACATAGTAAACACCAGATTCACCTGGGTTATAGAATGCAACCCTGTCTCAAAACAAAAGCAAATGAATAAATCTATCTTCTCAAGGAAGCTGTTTTCTCTGTCAGTCTCCCCAGGCCAACCTTTCCAGGCTAGTTTCAGCTTGCATCGATCCTCTGATAGCTATTTTTCTAACATCTCATATTGATCTGTTTCACAAGTTAGCTTTGCTTCCCCAGTAAGACTATAATATACTCAAGAAAGGGATTACTCCAGTGTCATCCCATGCAGTGTGCTTTACCAATAAACATACAATAGGCACACAGTAGGTCTGACTCAACCTCTTTGACAGTTTTTATTAATTTCATGTGGCCCAATATACTTTAGGGTTTACTTCCTTTCATCCTGGGTTAATTAGTAAAGTTAACCACTCAGATGATGTTAACATGGTAGGTGATCCTGGGTGACAGCTATGACTTTCATGTTATCCCTTCTCTCACTTCCTGTTTCCTGATGGGGAACTGAGTTAAGATGGTCAAACCAGGTGTGCATAGAGCTTCCCATACTCAAAATGATACCCATGTCTATGCTTGAATGGCGTGTGACTGCTGTGTCACTCAGGACTTGGCCTGTCATCTGGGAGCTGAACAGAGAAAGCTGAACTCCTCCCTTAGTACAGTGTTTGTGTGTGTGTGTGTGTGTGTAGAGGAAGATGAACTCCTTCCTTAGTACAGGGGTGTGTGTGTGTTTGTGTGTGTGTGTGTGTGTGTGTGTGTGTGTATGTGTGTGTGTTCGTCTATCAAGCTGCTTACAATTAGGGGAAACACATGTATATACTCACATAAAAAGAGAACATTTGAAGGAAATATAGGTATTTGTTGGAGGAGGTTCTATTATCATTAGAAAATATAATTTTGTGTGAATTTACATTCAATTTATGCTATATTGTTTGCACCTTTCCCACCTAAGAAGGTTCTTTGAAAGGAATTTTTATATACTATAATTTAAATCTGTCTAAAAAGGCATTGGTTTATGATTGACAGCTCACGTTCTTTAAGTGGCATGTCTTTTATTCAGAAAACATTTTAAGTGAATAAAGTAAACACAATTTATACAATAAATCATTATACTTCTATTACACAAAACCAAATACCAAATCAAACCAAAATAATAGGAATAATAAATAAGTATTTAACAAAACAATTGCTTTTAAAGTATCACCTCCTATAACGTATGCGTAATTGTTCAGAACTTACTAATTGGGCCTGGAGAGATGGCTCAGCAGTTAAAACTACACACTGTTCTTGCCAAGAACCTGAGCTCAGTTCCCAGTATCCATGTCAGGTGACTGGCAACCATCTGTAGCTCTAGCTACATGGGGACATGATGCTTCTGGCCTCTATAGATACTGCACTCACATGCACAGATACATATGTGCATGTGCATACATACACTGTACTTAGGGAGTTCTGCTTCCTCTACACACACGCATGCACACACACACACGTGCAGACCCACATATGTACAGACACACATGCACACATATGCACACACATGTGCATGCACACACAGACACATAATTAAAAATAAACATCTTTAAACCTATTCATCTCTGTATCAATTACTCTCATGAGAAATAAAGCCCTCTGACCTTCCTCAGTCATGTACTTAACCAGTTCTTCTTTAGTCAGAAACCCTCGTTTAGCTGGATCCAAAACCTGGGGAAAGTAATATATTTTCTTTGTTGAATAAATTCTATATGATGAATTAATTTTTCACATATACATGAATAATCTGGAGTTCACCCACCTCAAAAGCTCTAAGAAGGACATCTTCAGCAATTGGTCTGTATCTGTAATTTTACAATAAAGTGGGTTAATGCCAGCATATTTATCTCAGTCTCTACATGATAAATGATCACATTAAGCAAAATAAAAGCCACTAATATACTATGCTAATGGTATTTCCCTTGATAAAATTTCTTTGGATTTCTGTTTATGAAAGTCAACAGTACCTACCCCACAGGAATGTCTGGTATTACCTATTAGCATTTCTCATTGATATAAAAATAAATTTATCTAGGACCAGAACATCTACAATCAATCAACTGTCATATGCTAATGCTGTCTCATGCTAGAAAAGTAACTAGTGTTAATTTTTATTTTAAAATGGTAATTTACAGTTAAATGTTGTTCTTTTTTGTAGCTCCTTTGCCTTTTCATTATATCTTGCTTAGATTAAAAAATGCTAGCATTGTTTATATTTATAGGTGCATCCTAAACCAGCCTGAAGGACACTGAAAGGCTAGAGAAAACTTCCCTAAGATATAGACTGGGTAAATAAAATATAAAAGGTGAAGTGGTTTGGTTTGGTTTTGAAGCAAAACTCTGTAGCTCAGGATGGCCTGAAACTATATAACTAAGGTTAGCCTCAAATTTGTGGCAATACTTCTGCCTCAGCCCCTCAATGCTGAAATTATAGGCATAAAGCATCACACCTGGCCAGCCAAATGTTTTGAAAATAATATAATTCTAATTATTTTGCCTTAAAATTGTATTTACTTCCTTACTTTCTTTCCAGAAGTGCTCTGGTCATCACTGGAAGAAATTTTTCATATCGAATGTATCCAGTGGGCTCCTCTTCCTCCACCTAAACAATTAAAAAACAGTCATTTATTCATTCAACAAATGTTTTGAGCAACTACTTTTTTCCAAATGCTGAGCCAAGTGTTGGTGCTGAGACTATGTGCATCAATGTAGCTTGTGGAGCTTGTTTTCTGTAGGAGAGACACATACAATTCAAAACACGGCAACACCAGTAGCTGCGGAGACAGCTGTCAGTAAACTACTTGCCATGCAACCCTGAGGACCTAAACTCATTTGCTAGCATCAAAACCCACATCAAAAGCAAGGTGTGTAATTGCATCACAGTGGATTGTCACTCAAAGTTAACCTCTGGCCTGTGAGCTCACCCAACACAATACCAATTATCCAATTCGCTTTTACTACACTGGGTAACTGCAAACTTGCAATGATTCTTCTGCCTCAGCCTCCCCTATGGTGGTATGTCAAACATGAGCTACCATGCCTGGCTTGAATGTCTAGTTCTAGATATATGCAAACACCGTGAGTAAAGGAGTGTGGGTCTAGAGGAGCACAGAGCACAGGAACCCTCTCCTATCAGGGTATCAGGGAGGCCATTGGTGAACTGAGGTGTTTGAGCTGGTTTCTCAAGGACAGGAAGAGGCTGAAGAGAGGTCCTATCATCACAAGACAGCCATCCCCTGTTATCCTGAGAACAGTGTGAAACCACTGGCAGTGTCATAGGGTGTGTTTTGAAAGGTCACTCTGCTGTGGGCAGGGTGGCTTCTTCAAAGGGTCATGGTGCAGACTGGAGTGGTGGCCATGAGGAGAACAGTGTGTGACCAGGAGACCTTTAAGAAGACTTGACAGAGTGACTGCACTCACCTGTTACAGTTTAGGGGAAACAGGCATCTGAGATAACTCAAAGATTCTGACTTGCACAAATGCACCGTCTTTCCTTGAAATGAGGAATCCTGAATGAGATCAGATTTCATCTCAAGGACGAACATACATCTCCACTCATCCTTGTACTTATGAAATACTTTCCTGAGTACTAGAACTCGGCTCTGCCATCCTAAATTAAGAGAATACTATTCTAAAGATGAAAGCTTTTGGCACCTAGCACTACAGAATGAGAAAGAAACAAGTCTTTTTGCATCCGGGTTCAACTCTGACAGACTGACTGAAGACAGCTCCACTGACCTTAACTCCCATGTCAGGAAATTTATATGGGGCTATAAATCCTGCACTCTCTTTTAAAAATCCTATTAAAAGGCTCATAGATCCCAATTCAACAGATGAGTTTTTAAGAGATTTATTGTTTCAACAAAAAATAAATCTATAGGTGGCTATTAAGTAGAATGCACTGTCATCCAAATGACAACTGTTTTTAATGCTCGTATGAGAATCATACTTAGTGTGAGTAGAGTCTTCAGACTCTATTATCAGAGAAAATCAAACCCATCTAGGGAATCATGTTTCAGAATTTCTTCAGCTTCCTCTAAGGAAAGCATTTTGACAATTCATGTTAATATAGCTCTGTTGTACTTGGGCAGTAGTCTGAAATTCCCAGAACACAGAGACTTAAAAGTTAAACATCTGGACTCAGGTGTGGCTCAATGGTAGAGTGTTTGTGGACTCTGGGGTTTAAACCTCGGGGCAGACTTTTTAAAAGTCAATCTCTGTGTCTCCTGAAAACTTCAGAGAACCTATGCCCACGAAGTCTCACCAACACTGAAGATATGATAGAAGAAATAGAAACAACAGTCAAAGAAAATGTTACATCTAAAAAACTTCCTGACACAAAACATCCAGGAAATCTGGGACACTGTGAAAAGACCAAACCTAGGGATAATAGGAATAGAAAGAAAATAATCCCAGTTCAAAAGCCCAGAAAATATTTTTAACAAAAATCATAGAAGAAAGTTTTCCTAACCTATAAAGGTATGCCTATAAAGGTATGCCTATAAAGATACAAGAAGCTTACATAACACCAAATAGATTGGACCAGAAAAGAAAGCCCCACACCACATAATAATCAAAACTCTAAGCACACAGAACCAATAAAAAAATATTAAAAGCTGCAAGTGGAAAAGACTAACATATAAAGGCAGACCTATTAGAATTACACCCAACTTCTCAACAGAGATTCAAAAGGCTAGAAGAGCCTGGACAGATGTCTTGCAGATTCTAAAAGACCACAAATAACAGGCAGACTACTGTACCAAGCAAAATGTTCAGTTACCACAGACAGAGAAAACAAGATATCCCATGACAAAGTCAAATTTAAACAGTATCTATCCACAAATCTAGCCTTACAGAAGGTACTAGAAGGAAAATTTCAACCCAAGAATGTTAATTACACCCATGAAAACACAGGAAATAATCTTACATCAGCAAAACCAAAAGAAGGGAAATACAACACACACGCACACACACACAAAATCATCATCATCATCAAAAACAACAAACTAACAGGAATTAGTAGTCATTGGTCATTAATATCTCTCAATATCACTGGACTCAATTCCAAAATAAAAAGACATAGATTAATAGAATGAATACAAAAACAGAATCCATCCCTCTGCTGCATACAAGAAACACACTTCAACCTCAAAAATAGACATTACCTAAGATTAAAGTGTTAGAAAAAGATTTAAGAAAATGGACCCAAGAATCAAGATAGTATACTAGTGTATCTATTTTAATATCTAACAAATTAGACATCAAACAAAAATTAATTAAAAGTGATAGGAAAAGATACTTTATACTCATCAGGAGAAAAATTCACCAAGATGATGTTTCAGTTCTTAACATCTATGCCCCAAATGCAGGGGCACTCAAATTTGTAAAAGAAACATTACTAAAGCTTAAATCATCCATTGAACCTCACACATCAATAGTAGGAGGCTTTAATACCCCACTCTCATCAATGGACAGGCTCTCCAGACAAAAACTAAACAGAGAAATAATGGAGCTAACAGACGGTATAAACCAAATAGACCTCACAGATATCTACAGAACATTTCACCCAAAAACAAAAAATATACCTTCTTCTTAGCACCTCATGAAACTTTCTCCAAAACTGACCACAGACTAAGACACAAAGCAAGTCTCAACAGATATAAGAAAATTGAAATAACTTCCTGTATCTTATCAGATGACTCATGGACTGAAACTGTATTTCAGCAACAACAGAAACAGCAGAAAGCCTACAAACTCATGGAAACTGAACATCTCTCTATTGAATGACTACTGGGTCAAGGAAGAGAGAGAGAGAGAAAGAGAGGATAGAAGGAAAGAAGGAAGGAATAAAAAAGAAAAGAAAGGAAGGAAGGAAGGAAGGAAGAAAAGAAGAAAGGAAGGAAGGAAGGAAGAAAGAAAGAAAGAAAGGAAGGAAGGAAGGAAGGAAGGAAGGAAGGAAGGAAGGAAGAAAGAAAGTGAATGCACAACAAAAACTACAAACTTATGGACACAATGAAAGCTGTGCTAAGAGGAAAGTTCAAAGCACTAAATTGTGGAGATCACATATTAGCAACTTAACACCACACTTGAAAGCTCTAGAACAAAAAGAAGCAAACACTCAAGAGGAGTAGACAGCAGGTAATAAACTGAGGGCTGAAATTAAAAAAAAAGAAAGAAAGAAAAGAAACAAAGAGAATAATACAAAGAATCAATGAAACAAAGAGTTGGTTCTTTAAGAAAATCAACAAGATAAACACTTACCAGACTAACTAAAAGACAGAGAGAGTATCCAAATTAACAAAATCAGAATCAAATGGGGGACACAAAAGTAGACAAGGAAGAAAGCCAAAGAATAATTAGGTCATACTTCAAAATCATGTACTCCATAAAACTAGAAAAGTCTAAAAGAAATAGATGATTTTCTTGATAGATACCTCTTACCAAAGACCAGATAAATCAAGACCAGATAAACAATTTAAACAGATCTATAACCCATAAGGAAATAGATGCCATCATTAAAAGTCTCCCAACCAAAACAAGAAAGAAAAGCCCAAGGCCAGATGTTTTAAGCACAGAATTCTATCAGACTTTCAAAGAAGAGCTAATGCCAATACTCCTCAACTCATTCCACAAAACAGAAATAGAAGGAACATTACCAAATACATTTTATGAGGCCACAGTCACCCTGATACCCAAACCACACAAAGAGAATTATAGATCAGTTTCCCTCCTGAACATTGGTGCAAAAATACTCAATAAAATACTTGCAAACTGACTCCAAGAATACATCAAAAGATCATTCACCATGATCAAGTAGGCTTCATACCAGAGATGCAGAGATGGTTCATCATATGAAAATCTGTCAACAAAATGTACCATATAAACAAAATGAAAGAAAAAAGAAAACCTCATGACATCTTGTTAGATGCTGAAAAAACCTTTAACAAAATCCAGCACCCCTTCATGATAAAAAGTCTTAGAGAGATCAGGGATACAAAGGACACTAAGCGGAGAGAAATTCAAAGCAATCCCACAACAACAACAACAACAAAAAAAACAAAAACAAAAAAACCTTCTAGAGCTATAACCATCCCTGATTTTAAGCTATGCTACAGAGCAATAATAATAATTTTTAAAAAATTACATGGCATTGGCATAAAAACAGACAAGTTGATTAGTGGAATGAAACTGAAGACCCAGATGTAAATCCATATACCTATAGACACCTGGTTTCAGCAAAGAAGCCAAAAGTATACAATGGAAAAAAAGAAAGCAAAAATAGTACTGGTCTAACTGGAGGTTGGCATGTACAAGAATGCAAATCAATCCATATCTATCACCATGAACAAAATTCAAGTTCAACTTGATCAAAGACCTCAACATAAAATCAGATACACTGAACCTGACAGAAGAGAAAGTGGGAAGTAACCTTGAACACACAGCACAGGACACAACTTTCTGAACAGAATATCAATAGTGCAGGCACTAAGATTGACAATTAATAAATAGGCCCCATGAAACTGAAAAGCTTCTGTGAGGCAAAGGACACCATCAATAGGACAAAACATCAGCCAACAGAATGGATAAAGATTTTCACCAACT